TGCGTGAGGGGGCACCTTGGCCTGGCAGAGTTGTTCTTCAGCTGCAACACATAGATTTCTGACCTCTGTCAGTCACCCCGTTTTCTCAGAATGGTGTCTGAACTTGTGCCACCTCTAGTCCCTGCATGGTTAATATTTTAATTCTACTTTAATGAGGAAGCAGGGTTACAGAGAATGGAACTGAGTTTGCCTGGATGACACAGTCCCCTGTGACCACCCCAAGCTCTTACTCACTTGAACCACTGCTCTGTGTTACCCATCCATGAATAACAGGCAATGGGGTGGGGAACCTGTGGCCTTCTGGATCCTTAAGTGAGGCCTTTTGACTAAATCTGAATTTTACAGAATAAATCCTTCAGGATCCAGAAGGTCACAGGTGCCCCCAAGGCTGCAGTTTCCCCACCTCTCTTAGGCACTTAGCAGGAAGGAATAAGGATGGGACTCTTGTTTACGGCCTTGAGAGTGAAGATGCTTCAATCACCAGTGAAGGAAGAGCTGTATCTCTCACTTTTCCTCCTGTCTTGCCTAAACTGCCAACACAGAGCTCAGATAGTGTCTGTGTTTATAACAAGTGGTTCACTAGGCCCACAGACAAAACCACAATCTTTGCTTTAGACAAGTCCCTCAGTTCCTTCTCAAGGTTTATTGTCTGTCAAGGCTTAGAATAAGGTAAGATTCTCTTTTGAGGAGCTCACAGACTGGCCATAGCAGAGCAGTTGCCTTATAGGATCAGAGAACGATGTCCAGGTAGATTTTCCTCAGGGAGCTCCTGAGGGCTGCAGTAACTTGCCTGCTGCCCCTCTGGAGGTGGCAGCCATGTGAAGCCTCTGTTCTCCCAAGGGCTGGACTCTTTCTAGCATGTGGCATTGCCTTTGGCAAGTGGAAGACCCAATAAGAAAGGAATATTGATTCTCAAAATGACTTCCTTCTGGCTCTATATTTGGCAATTCACTTAATTTGACAAGCATCTGGCCTCTCCCTAGAACTCGGACAGGATACACTGACTTTACAAATTTTAGGGCAAAGAATTATCTCACTCAAGGAGAAGAAAAAATGTTTCTACCTCAGTGGAAGAAGGGAGAAAACGAAGAGAGAGAGGAAGATGTAGGGAGGTTAATACTTTCCTAGTATGTACACATGTAAGTTTGGGTTTTCATAAAGTTTTTCTGGAGCAAACACTGGGAGAATAATATTTTTCTATGTGAAATACAAAAAAGACTAAAATTCCAGCCCTTATATCCCTGCTCCATCCCTATTTTTCTAATTCCTTTCCAAAGGCAAATTTGCCAGTAACTATGAATCGGCTGTTGCAACCAATAGCCGCTAGGGGGCTGCAGAGACTTTAAACCTGAGAGGAGCCGCCAGGATTTCACCTTCTTCACCACAATGTCCCCCACCAATGCTTTTGCACCCCAGGGACACAGGGATCTCAATTAACTCTCATGCTTTTGTAAAGTCTCTCAAACTTTTCCCAAGCAAGAATAAGTGGCTTTGCCTATAGATTAAATCTCACTAAATCTCAAAACTGTTCCTTTTTTTAAGATAATTTTTGAAGGGGGACAGAAATGAATATGTATAGTCTCTCGGGCACTATGCATATGTATCCATCGAAATGTGTGTGTATGTGTGTGAGTGAGCATCACATCACACAGTGCCCTTTTGGGGGAAAGTATATATTTGTTATTTCCATTACAGAGACAAAACAGCTAAAGCTCAGAGAGGCTTAAGAATTTGCTCACAAACAGCAAGTAAATGACAGAGTTGGAGTTCAAACCAGTGCCTCTTTTCATCTAAAATTCACACATCCCACTGGGACAAATTAGGCCTGTTCCTCATGGCACAACTCTAACTGTGACTCTGCTATCCTATATTGTCACTAATAAGAAGGGGGGAGATGGGAATGTGGAGGTAAGTGCAAGTGGAGGAAGTAGAGACAGAGAATAAAGCATGTGGACACTGACAGCTAACATAGACATGTACTTACTTTGGGCCAAGCTGTTTCAAAACAATGTTAATGCATTATCATGTTTAGCATTGGCAGTAACACTATGTGGACAAGTAACAATGTCTCTGTTACAGGTCACACATGGAAGTTCAGGGAGGTTGACTTCCCAGCAACAAGCTACACAGGTAATAAGATTTGTTACATGAATCGAACCTGACTATCTCACCATGAAGTCTATGCTCTTCAACCCGGGGTCCCTCAAGAGAGAAAACGGGGTGGGATGGAATGGACTGGAGGGAACAAAGGGACACAGAGGAAGAAGCTGGAAGCCTAGAGAGAGGGGGAGGTGAGTGACAGAGAGGGTGGGAGACAATCAGGTAAGGTGGGCTGCTCTGGGTCACCTTACAGATGACATGGGCCAGTGGGCTGGGGGAGGAGGAAAGTGATTAGACCATGGAGGATAAAACCAAGGAGGACGATAAGACCACCAAGACCCTGCTCTGGAAATTCACAATTTCTGGAAAAGGAGAAGCAGACAACTCAGTAAAGGAAGGGTATAATCTTTAAGAAATAAGCCTGAATCCTGTGTGAGATTCCTCCAGTGGCCAAAAGTCCTCACTTAAGACTGGGAAGCAGAGATGACAGATATTAGAAGATTATGAACTTCCAGAGGATCAGGAAGAGACCTGGGACCTAATGGTGGACAGAGGAGCAGAACCAAACAAAGCTTTCTTCTAAAATATGTCTCTGCCACTGGGCAGACCTGAGCTCTGAGTCTACAGCCTGCACCTGCAGACCAGTCTGTACAACACACCTCCTACTAATCACAATGCTAAGAGTAGAGCAGTAAAGTCATTAGATAGTGATTTATTCAGAATGTATTAAGCACCTACTGTGTGCCTTGCTCTGTGTGATGTGCCAGGGAGAAAGACCATGGTGGAGGGTCTTACTATCATGTGGCCTTAATAAAATCAAATTTAAAAACTCAGAATACAGAACTGAATCTGTGCTATACTACAATTAAGCAAAATTATAAATATAAAAAAAAAACTGGAGGAAAACCTTAAAAAAATAGACTTATTGAAGTGGCAAATTTGTGGGTGATTTTTTTCCTTTTTTCCTTTACAAGTGATTTTAGTAGTTTTGTATAATAAAATAAAATTTGACTCCCATACAGAAAGTATATTAGTCAAGGTAGCTAGGTTACCTTGAAATAACGACCGACTCCCTGCCCCCTAAATCTAAGTAACTTAGAAGCAATGCGATATACTCTTCGCACAGCCTGCGTCCATTTCAGGTGAGGAGAGGGCTCTGATCATCATAGCCACTTAGGGATCCAGGCTGATGAAACAGGTACTCTTATGAATTAGAGAGTCTTGCACCAACAAGTAAATACTCCAGCCTGGAGTATTTAGGAGAGGCCAGTTCCACTCCTGTCTTGGTCCCATCCTATCCTGAGAGAGTTTGGGGTAGAGAATGAGAAATATCTAGCAAACAGCCTTTTTGACTCCCAAAGAAGAGGTAGGCCTGCAAGTGTTACATCAGATGACTTAAACTAGGAAGGGACCAGAAGACTGCAAATACCCAATAGAAAAATGACCTTAACTCCTCAGGGATCCTCGGCGAAGCCGGGGAGCCCAACCACCCTCGGCACAGCCCCTCCCTCTCAGCCTTCCAGTCAGTGCCTACCTCATCCTGCAAACACCGAGTGTGTTGTAGCTGTTCAACCTAAGAGGTGGCATAGACCCAGAAAAAGCCTTTCCCAAACATGAAAGAGTGACAGCTCTCAGCTGGAAACTGTGAACAAGTGCACATCTACAGAAGGGAGGGGAGTAACCAGAGAGAGGGAAGCAAACTGTCCCCACCACTGTGCATCTCACAGCAATCCTGTGTTTGCAGAAGCACAGGACAGTGGGGAGGAAGGCAGGAGATGTTACTGTAGCCAGCACGCGCTGGTCTTATCACCTGCAGCTATCCTAG